TAACCCCTCATTTTATCTGTCAAACTTTCATCAAAAATCAATACGAAACTAACGATTTTAAATTGGCTCACCACTTTAGTAGCCTATTGGTCCCAAGCAAACGATTAACGTACCCTATTCTAGTTGAAATTCTATTACTACACTATGTTTGTTTTGATTCGCTATGAAAGTTTGACAGATAACATCAGGGGTGTGTGGATTCATGCAGAACATGCAGGGGTGAGTGAAATAGCTTGGGACTGCTTGGGACCGTTGTTCTGGTACTGAGTGAGCCAAAAATAATAATGATTTTCTTCGGGACCCAGTGGTCTTAGAGTTACCTCTATGGTAATACCAACAATCAATACGAAACTAACGATTTTAAATTCTATGGTAATACCAACAATCAATACGAAACTAACGATTTTAAATTGGCTCACCACTTTAGTAGCCTATTGGTCCCAAGCAAACGATTAACGTACCCTATGCTAGTTGAAATTCTATTACTACACTATGTTTGTTTTGATTCGCTATGAAAGTTTGACAGATAACATCAGGGGTGTGTGGATTCATGCAGAACATGCAGGGGTGAGTGAAATAGCTTGGGACTGCTTGGGACCGTTGTTCTGGTACTGAGTGAGCCAAAAATAATAATGATTTTCTTCGGGACCCAGTGGTCTTAGAGTTACCTCTATGGTAATACCATAGAGGTAACTCTAAGACTAGAAGGTCCCGAAATAACGTGCTCAACTTTTTGGCTCAGCTCTGGTACTCTCTTCGGTCCTAAGCTAATCGATTCACCCCTCGAAACATAGGAAAATCCACTAACCCCTCATTTTATCTGTCAAACTTTCATCAAAAATCAATACGAAACTAACGATTTTAAATTTGCTCACCACTTTAGTAGCCTATTGGTCCCAAGCAAACGATTAACGTACCCTATTCTAGTTGAAATTCTATTACTACACTATGTTTGTTTTGATTCGCTATGAAAGTTTGACAGATAACATCAGGGGTGTGTGGATTCATGCAGAACATGCAGGGGTGAGTGAAATAGCTTGGGACTGCTTGGGACCGTTGTTCTGGTACTGAGTGAACCAAAAATAATAATGATTTTTTTCGGGACCCAGTGGTCTTAGAGTTACCTCTATGCTTTCATGGCGAATCAATTAAAACAAACATTGTGTAGTACTAGAATTTCGACTAGAAAGGGGTACGTTAATCGTTTGCTTGGGACCAATAGGCTAGTCAAGTAGTGAGCCAATTTAAAATCGTTAGTTTCGTATTGATTGTTGATTATACACCGCTAGGCGTTGTTATTAAACGAGTAAGTTACGTAAAAGACCTAGGTGTCATTTTAGACTGGCAACCAGCGCTGCCATTTATACAGATTTATCTGTATTATACAGATTTTTTAATCTTAATACAGACCCGATGCAGAATACAGATTTATCACAGATTTTTAAATTACAATACAGATTTATACAGATTTTTATAAAATGGTTGAGAAAAAAAAAATCAAAATTTATAAAAACAAAATAACTTGCTCGATTTTATCAGCGTACCGTACCCCCTTCTCTCCAAAATTAATTGTTGTGCTAAAAACCATATTTTTTGCAGTGGGATCTGCTCGAGGCGTTGCTGTTTCTTTTATGCTTCTCTCACTCCCTCCAACGGAAAACGCAGTCACGCCCGTCACGGTAGTATATTAAAAATATCAAATAGTAATGAACTCGTGCACTTTTTTGCATTTAAAACTGCTTATCAGGAAGATAATGAATAGAAACTAAAATCTCCATACATTTTCAAACGGCTTCATATCACTCTTATAAATAAGTACCTAAGTTTCCAACGAGGCATCCAGCGCAAACTTAAGCTACACCCGAAATCCTTTTGGAACTACGTGAACGAGCAACGCAGGGAATCCGGCCTCCCATCGTCTATGGAATTCAACGGAGAAGTTGCTGCCACTGTTCAGGATATATGCCACCTTTTTTCCGAAAAGTTTTCCAGTGTATTCACTAATGAGACACTAACTGACGACCATATTAACCTGGCTGCCAGGAACGTTCCAGTAAACGATCAAACGCTGGGTGCAATTGATGTTAATGCAGAAATGATTTCTAAGGCCGCGACTCTGCTCAAGTCATCCTTCAATCCTGGACCTGATGGAGTTCCATCTGTATTTTTGAAGAGACATATTGCTAGCTTGTTAATTCCGCTTCTTCGCCTGTTCCGAATGTCTCTCTCAGGTGGCATATTTCCATCTTGCTGGAAATTTGCGCACATGTTTCCCGTCCACAAAAAAGGAAGGAAACGAGCTGTGGATAACTATCGAGGAATTACATCGTTAAGTGCCGTTTCGAAGCTATTCGAGCTAGTGATTATGGAACCGTTGCTGTCCCATTGCAAGCAGTATTTGAGTGCTGATCAACATGGGTTTACTGTCGGCCGCTCTACAACTACCAATCTGCTGTGTCTCACATCGTATATAACCGAAAGCATGTCGGATCGGGTTCAAACGGACGTTATTTATTCAGACCTATCCGCAGCATTCGACAAGTTGAACCATGCTATTGCAATTGCTAAACTCGGCAGGCTCGGTGTATGCGGTAATCTTCTGAGTTGGTTTCGATCATATCTTACCGGTCGGCAACTAAAAGTCGCCATAGGAGATTGCAGATCAGCTAGCTTCTTCGCCACATCAGGTATACCTCAGGGAAGCCACATGGGACCGTTAATTTTTATACTGTACTTCAACGACGTGCATCTGGTCATCGAAGCTCCTCGGTTATCATATGCAGATGACCTCAAAATCTTCCTACGAATCTGCTCCATTGCTGACTGTCACTTTCTTCAACGTCAACTGAATGTATTCGCTAGTTGGTGCAGGTTAAACAGAATGGTAGTGAACCCAGCCAAATGCTCCGCTATTACGTTCTCACGAAAACAACAACCGATAATATTTAGCTATGACCTGCTTGGCTCGACAATCGAACGCGTGAATCAGGTGAAAGACTTGGGTGTGATCTTGGATTCGCAGCTTTCTTTCAAGCAACACATTGCATATGTTGTTGATAAGGCGTCAAGAACTTTAGGGTTCATTTTTAGGATAGCTAAAAACTTCTCTGATATCTACTGTCTAAAATCTCTCTATTGTTCGCTTGTTCGATCGACGCTTGAGTATTGTTCAGCGGTTTGGAACCCAAACTACAACAACGGTGCCGAGAGAATTGAATCTGTTCAACGTCGCTTTCTTCGTTTTGCGTTGCGTAGATTGCCTTGGAACGATCCGTTTCGATTACCAAGCTACGAAAGCCGTTGTCAACTTATCGACCTAGAATTTCTCCGGACTAGAAGAGACACAAACAGAGCCCTTACCGTGGCCGATATCCTACAAGGAAGGACAGATTGTGAGGCTATCCTGAGGCAAATTGACCTGAATGTTCAACCCCGACCGCTTCGTAATAACCTTATGCTAAGACTGCCTCTACGTCGTACAAATTATGGAGCGTACGGTGCGATTTGCGGACTGCAGAGAACATTCAACAGAGTTGCATCTGTTTTCGACTTTCATCTCTCCCGTGATGCGCTTCGTCGAAAGTTTTCTTCTGTTTTTCGCCGGCAGGAGTTAAGATATTGACTATAAGATATACGTTTTTTAATGTTTTTTTTTTATGTTATGACCATGCTTGAATGTATTTTTTTTTTTTTTTTACCATAGTTGATAAGGTTTAAATCATTGGGGCTTCATCCAGCCTGTTGATGTAAATAAATAAATAAATAAATAAATAAATAAATAAATAAATAAAAAGTACGGACGATATCACAAATGGCGCAATTATATCCCGTATGGTTAGTACGATAGCCCGAATAGGAGGTTAAGCACTTTTTATGGTTATTTTGTATGCACTGTATTTGTAAAACAACAAAACATGATTAATTAAGAAAAAAATCGTCAATACAGAAAATACAGATTTTTTAATAGAGTGGATACAGATTTTTTATAAAACCACCTGGCAGCTCTGCTGGCAACTAACATTTAAACAGAACATATCGTTTATCGTTGACAAACCTTCCCGATATTTGGGTTTCAACTTTAGGGTGGCTATTGATTTTACCGATGTGTATTGCCTGAAATTACTGTACTGTTGCTTAGTGCGCTCCACCTTGGAGTACGATGCTGCTGTTTGGAATCCTTTCTATCATATCGTAGCAGAGCGGATCGAGTCTGTTCAACGAAGATTCATTCGCTTCTTCGACGACTACTCTGGAGAGACCCTTATAGACTGCCCCCTTATGAGGAAAGCTGTTCGCTGATTCACCTGGAACCTCTAAAGACACGCCGTGATCCACTACGGGCTTTGTTTGTCGCTGATGTGTTGCAAAATAGGATTGATTCTTCAATTATACTTGCCCAAATGAACCTCAACAATCAAATGCTCCGATTACTACTGACCCGGGCCAACTACGCCATGAATAGTGCTATTAGCGGATTACAGAAACTTTTCAACAGAGTTGCAGCGGTGTTCAACTTTCACCTGTCTCGGTAGTCACTGCGACGAAGATTCTCTGTCTGTTTCTCCTGGAGATCCAATCACTAGGATAGTGTTTTATTTAATCTGAGACTTTGTGATTCACACCACCATCATTGGGGCCTGTTCATGTGAATATAAATAAATAAATAATTAAATAAATAAACATGAAGGTTTTAAAATGTGGCTCAAGTTCGTAGTTCATTCTTCTTCTCCTTACACCATAGTCCGCCAAAGATGGTCCTAAACACGCGTCGATCGAAAACTCCCAGTGCATTGTCAACGTCTTGTGTCGTACCCGTAGAGAACACCAGTCTTGTACGTGGTACACTGAGTACGGGTGCGAAGTTTACCAGACCTCTTCCGAAAATAATGCGTTTTCTAAGACTCCAGCTAAACGAATGAAAAAGTTAAATCAACAGCATTATAAATACTGCATGTTTTATTCTTGGTAATGAATTTAACAGAGGAATAAAGTGCTCAATTAAAGCTAACTAAATTAAAGCTAAAATTATTAGAAATAGCCAAAATACATTGTTAAAATCAATCGTGAACGCCTGCCGCCGTCTAGCAACGTTCCGGGTCAGCCATACTGAAATAAAAAAATCATCATAAATGGCCCCAAAAATAAACGTAAACCCCTCCCCAATACTCACCGGTGAATCGTCAGTTCATCACTCGCCTGAATGTTGCTCATGTCCTGTGGCGTGAGGAAGCAAAACTGCCGATCCGATTTCTTCTTGGTCTCATTCAGCAGCAACATCGTCATCATGTGCCGATTGACCTGATCGGTGAAAACATCGTACTCGTCCAGGAAGTAGAACGGCGTGTCAACGCAGGACCACAGTGCAATCAGGAACGCAACCGTCGAGTAGGATCGTTCCCCTCCGGACAGGGACTTGGTGTTGGAAACCGCATTGGAAATGTTCTTATCGCGTGGAACCACCGAAAGAGCCAGGGTGCAGTTTTTGGTGTCCATCACGATTTCACCGACGAAACCGCGCAACTGCATCACCATCTGTTAACAGTAGAACCAAGATATGCTCAATCAAATACACCAAGCGAACAATTAATGCAATCAGATAGAGGTACTCACGTTGAATTTGTGTTTTACTCTCAAGGACATGTGCGACTTCAGTTTGTGTATGTATGCATACCGGGCCACACGGGAGTTCTGCAAGGTTTTGATAACTTTCTTCAGCGAATCCGTGTACCGCAGGGCCGTATCTCGCTTCATCAGCTTATTGTCTAGAATGGCTTTGACGTCCACAATGTCCTCGTTCGCGGAATTGATGTGCCTGTAAATGAAAAGGGGAGGTAAATGCTCCAATTTCGATAACTATACCATTTGCCACCAAACCTACTTGATCCGGTTCTCTGTCGACGAAATAGTTTTCTTGAGCTGTTCGTGCGTTTCGGTCACCTCAATGCGATCTCCCAGTTCTTGTGCCTCATGTGTCACAGTCTCCAGTGCTTGTTTCTGTTCGTTCCGCTTGGATTGCAGTGTCTGCACCTCCTCTCGCAGCCGTTCCAACTGTTGCTGCTTAGTCTTGGAGTTGGCTTGCATGTCGTGACGCTTCTGCAGTTCGGCATCGATCTTGTCCTGTATTTCCTGCATCTCGTTTTCGATCTTTGTCATGTGATCCTTCTTCTCGTGAATGTTGCGCTCTTGCGCAGCTATTTCCTGCTTGAACGATGCCAGCTTGGATTCCTCGTGTTTCAACTCTTCGTTCAGTTTCTCCTGGGAAGCCTTCAGCTCGTCCAGCTCGTTTTGCAATGTCATGTCTTCCGACTCGGCAGGATACTCGATCGCCCTGAGTTCGTTGATTTTCTGCTCTAAAGTGTTCAATTCTTGCTGTTGTTTGGTCAGCTGACGTTGCTTGTCGTGCAACGATCGTTGTTTGTCGTTCTGCTTGTGGGTTTCTACCTCGATTTGCTGCTTTATTTCTTGCAGTTCCTGATCAAGCTGCTGCATTCGACGTTCGGTTTGCTTCTTCAATTCTGCCATGTTGACCTGCGAGCAGAGCCAAATATGTAGTTATCAGGTATTGTGGTGCGGTTGCCCACAAAGTATTGTATATTTACTTACCTGTAAATACCGTGCCGGTCGCCTCTGCAGCCCATAGCTTCGGTAGTTTGGCACTGGGTAAAATTCAGAAAACGGTTCCATCACGACCACCTTCTGCAGATTTGTCGGAACATTTTCCGTATGACTGGTAAGATGAATGGCCAAGTTTTGATCCTCAACAGCCAGTACTGTTTCAATCTTAATCTGATCGATGAGACAGTTCATCACAACTGGATCGCTCACGTTGATCAGATTCATCAGCAGATGGGCATTCTGCACGTCTTCAACGCGTCCTGCACGCACATCGTACATTTCCTTGTGGAAACGACTCGTTATAATAGTACGGCCGCGCATTTCCGGAAATTCCCGTTGAATGAGCTGATTCAACGAGGTGCGATCGGCATCCGAGTTCACGTAGAATGCCGTCAGCATTCCCGGACCAATGACCGTCTCGACCATGGCGGTCCACTTCTTGTCCTTCACCTTGATGTACTGACCCAGAGGACCACGTGGCAGTTCGGAGAAACGACCCTGTTGATGCATCTGCTTGATCTTAGCCACAAAGGCGGGCATTTTCTGGCCGAAGACTGATAGGTTGTCGCGGGATGAATTTTCAAACTGCTGAAGCTGACTTTCTGTGCGAGCTAGAAGTTGAAAAGAATGTTATGTACTATGAAGAAAGCAACTCAACCCGGCGCGGCGTGTTGCTCACATCTCTCGTGCTGTTTAGCCACTCTTTTGTTGTTGACTTCCTCTTTGGCTTCGTTGATCTGGTTCATCGTATTATGTAGGGTGTCAACGTCTCGCTTTGCATTATCGATCATCGCTTGCAGATCACGCTTTTTCTCAGCTAATTCAGCTAACATCTGCTCGTTCCGTCGTTTTTCATCAGCTACTCGGTTGAATCCCCTAGAAATTCGAAACACCAATTATAAGTCTTACGTTTTGATCGATTCTCAAACTAAACTTACGACTCGCTGCGCTGTTTCAAATCCGTCTCCAAATTCTTGATATCCTCTGCCTGACGCGCCATGCGATCCTTAACTTTCTTCATCTGGCGACTTTTGTCGGACAGCTGCTCCTGCAGCTGTTGGCCTACAATTCTTGCCTGCGTGTACTTTTCCTTCAACTCCACAAAGCCGGTCTTCTTCCCATCAATATCGTTTCGATAGCGCTGAACCGTGCGATCGACTTCCACCTCAATTGCCTCCCTATTTTGTATGGCATGCATATGTTCCTTCATCGTTTTCAGTTTATCTCGCAACTTGTCTTCCATGAGCGAACATTCGGCACTCTGGTCCGTCACAATTCGCCAGCCCAACTTTAGGCGAGACTCCTTTACATGATCTTTTAGCTTTTCAACCGATTGTAAGCTGTTGTACTTCTGTTGCATATCCACAATCTCCCGCTCTATATACTGCAAACTTTTCTCATTACAATCCAAGTTGTGCTTTGCATTTTCCAGCTGAGGTGTGCAACCATTCAACTTGGAGGTGATGGCATCAATCTGAGTTGCTTTCAGAAACAAGTTGTACTGTTTCTTTTCATCGGAATCCTTTAAAAACGATCTTGCCAAATCTTGGTTCAGAACACACACCGGATTATCGACTTGGATGTTCAGATACAGAATCATCTTAAGTAGCTCACTTCGGCTTGTGGTTATGACACTGCCAGTCTCACTTTTCATCTTGTAACTCGTGGCACCGGAAGCATTGATCGTGCGGACAACGATAATCTTGTCACCGTAAACATCCCGCTCAAAAGCATCAAAGCTGTCGTTTTCCAAGTGTATCTCAATCGATGCTTGCGTTTCCCCATGTTTGATTAGTTCTGAAATAAGTAAAATCTCAATTAATCTAACCAAAGTACAAACAAAAATATAGATGGAATGACTTGACTCGATGATTTTCTAGAAAGTCTAGGCTCACTCACGCGTGGGCGTGCCTTGAATTCCTAGAAATCATCGAGAGACGACTTCTCTCGATGATTTACAGGAATTCAAGGCACGTCCACGCAAACCAACATAACAAACTTCTCCTACCCGATGGTGATGTAAATTTGCGTGGGTTAGCCTCGACTTTCATGATCGACAGAGAGAATAGTTTACAAAACCTTTTACGCCCTAATTCTAGTTCTATCTAGAAATATTCATAATACTTACGCTTCACACTACTGCTTCGATTGGTGAGATTAGCACTGCAACCAAGTCCGATAGTAAGAGCCGCCAAAACGGCACTCTTGCCGCTTCCGTTGTTACCGACCAGGAGATTGGCGCGCTTGTTGAACTCCACCACCAGATTACGGTGGCACATGAAGTTTTTCAGCTGAATCTTCAGGATTTTACCACTCCGGACGTTCTGCTGGATGTCATGTATTATGGCCAACTCAATCGATCCTGCTTGTGACAACGAAGTAGCTGACAGTTGACTGGTGTATTCCTGTAATAGGCATATAATACAGATATGTACCACCAAGAAAAAACAAACCCTCGGAAAACAAACTCACCCCATCAGGATCGCTCTCGTTTTCACCATAGCTACTGTTGTCCTTCCGAATACGGTTACGTTTACTGGACGAATCCGGAGAAATGTCACGTTTTCGACGACTCATTCTGAATTACGCGATTCCGATGAAGTTTTATACTTTAAAAAGCACAAATTTATCAAAATTACTGTCGAGAGGAAAACACTAAACGCATATTCCTGTTCAGACGCGAAAAGAAAAACTTCAAACCTTCAAACTATCAACGGACGCGGTGTCCAACGACATTGTTAACAGATCCGACAATGTGAATTTGTCATCTCTTTCATTCATGCACGGATCAAGGTGACGTCAAACTTTTCGTTAGATAAGAACAGCAGGAGAATAAGAGACCACCAATTTGCACTGCCGAACCTATTCTCCACGACATAGGGCTCCGATGGCTTTGGAGTGCTTTGTTTATTTTCAATCATCTATGATGTTTTTGGGGCGCGCGCAATGATTGTTCAGCTCCGGTAACACTGCATGAAATATTTCACGTCAAATGTACACTCAAAAAATATTGAAATCTAAATAGTATAAAAGCTACACTAAATCGCAACTCTCCTGACCGACGCATAGCTTGGTATAGAGATTGCTAAAGTATGATTGTGTCAGTGATTTGTTTTCATCGGGAAAATTTTCCGGTACGAAGTTTTTTTTCCCGATGAAAACATTTTGCGTATACGTATACGTGACGTAGTGTGCGTACGATAAACGTCAGCAATCTCTATAAAGAGAGAGAATGCAAGCTTAGATAAAAATGCTTTATTCATTGAATAGTATTAGGTTTTGCACCGTCGGGGTTAACCTCAATCTGATGACAGTTTAGTGGTACTGTTTACGTGGACTTAGCCGATTTTTTCTTGGGTGGGTTTTCTCGATAATTTTTCAGACTGCAGTGAGATGTAAACCACATTTCTGCAATGTTCACGAGCAACATCCTTGCAATGCGCTGTTCCTCGACAATTTTCAAGTTAAAATTAGGAAATTTTAGATTTTTTTTTCGAAAAAACGACTAAGTGCTTGTAAACAGTACCACTGAACTGTCAAAAAGGTTCAGCCGATTAACACTGAGTTCATTCGTGACGTCACGCTGCAGAACCTAATAGAGATTGCTAAAGTATGATTGTGTCAGTGATTTGTTTTCATCGGGAAAATTTTCCGGTACGAAGTTTTTTTTCCCGATGAAAACATTTTGCGTATACGTATACGTGACGTAGTGTGCGTACGATAAACGTCAGCAATCTCTATTAGGTTCTGCAGCGTGACGTCACGAATGAACTCAGTGTTAATCGGCTGAACCTTTTTGACAGTTCAGTGGTACTGTTTACAAGCACTTAGTCGTTTTTTCGAAAAAAAAAATCTAAAATTTCCTAATTTTAACTTGAAAATTGTCGAGGAACAGCGCATTGCAAGGATGTTGCTCGTGAACATTGCAGAAATGTGGTTTACATCTCACTGCAGTCTGAAAAATTATCGAGAAAACCCACCCAAGAAAAAATCGGCTAAGTCCACGTAAACAGTACCACTAAACTGTCATCAGATTGAGGTTAACCCCGACGGTGCAAAACCTAATAAAGTTGCAGTATTTTTTAGGATGTAGTCCGTTTATTTGTCAGGATGCGTTTTTTGATTGCGTTTTATATCGTGACTGATAATGAATAAAAGTAAACAGCAATAATGCAGCAATATTTTTATTGTCATAATTTAAGATAAAATATGAATCGTGAACGTTCTCAACCGAGCCTGCAAAACTATTTTCGTACTCCAGTTTCCGTTTGACAATCACTGGAGCAATCATTGCCAAGGTGCTGAAATATGGAACAGATATCTGTAATTAACGATCTATGAAGAATCAATCCCTTTGATATAGACCTACCTCATACTCGCACAATAGATTGACCTTTAGAAAGACTATTGTAATGTTATGGTAATTGTGTAAGTAACCCTTTCGCATACGGGCGTTCTTGGATTGTATCCGACCAGCTCCAGATCGGATTCTTCACAGGAATTCAGCAAAAACTGGAATGAAAATTATGTGGACGATTTAGGGATGGAAAGGAATATTGGTTTTAATTTTAAAACTATGTTTACTGCATTACCTGTTGGTTGAAAGTGTCTATCGATTATATTGGCTCATATTAGACAACAAAACTACCGACGAACCAAAAATAAAGACTGGATCGAAAACCATTATGAGCGTCATCGAAATATTTACTTCAATACAAAGTGAACGATTTCTACGCCTTTATTCCGACTTAGTATAATTTTGACACCAAATTATAATCAAATAATCAATGTTTAAATATTGATAAAACATAAAATGATTAATTTTTAACCTTTCTATGTTTAGTAATATTTTTGAGTGTACGGAAATTAAGTGAAATTTACACTCAAAAATATTATAAAACGAATATGCATTTAGTGCAATTTTAAGCATTTTGTGGATTTTCAAAATTTATACATTGGTTCGATTAAAATTTTCATCAAAATTATATTTAGTCCGAATAACGGTGTGGAATTCGGTCAGTGTTTCTAAAATAATAGGAAAAAGATCATCTGGATTCTCTTCGGAGCTTCGTCCCGGCAGATTTATGTTTATACTGCGCATATGATCAGCTGAGCAGCTAGACTGCGTGAGCGCGAGTTCATCCTAATGAATATCGAAAAGATACGTATTTTTTAATAAAATTCATAAAAAAAATAATGAAAAAACCTTTTAGAGACAATTTTAATTTTTATTTGAAAACAATAATATTTACCATAAATAAAATAAAGAAGTGAAAAATAAATACATTCTCTCGAATAAATCATACAAACTAAACTATAGCACAAGCCGAGGCTATAGGAAGGTGTCTTTTGCTAAATTTTGAGATCATAGCAAGGTGTCGTCAAACTTTCAAATGTTGTTAAAATGCATCCAAAAAATCAGTTTTGCATCAAACGTCAAAATTACATAACGGAATAATTGATCGGATCATTATTCCGTAAGGAAAGTGAAATTTAAATCAGAATGTCGACCACCATATCGATCTTTCCTTTACCGATTTCTTTTGAACTGACCTTAACCTTCACTAGTTTTTACTCGTCTTCTGTTGTCGATGCGGGCCCCTTCTCCTCCGTTTTTTTTTTTTTTTTTTAATAATTCGTTTATTTTTCCAGGCTCATTTGCTGTAGCTTTGCGGAGCCGATATTCATTGTTTAGATAACAAAATTACTTAAAACTAACGTTAGTAAAGCGGGGGCCGATTACTCGCGGCTATCTCGAGGTTAGGGGTAACAAATTGTAACAAATGGATGGCAGGGTAGGGATTGTGAACACAAGGTTTGGAGAGCAATGTGCTCTTGATCTCGAACTAGGCGACACTCTGATGAAAAAGACAAACATGGGGGTACACCGATGGGTAGCTAACAACTTGGGAGAACACAAGATGACACTAACTTCTAAATCCTCAAATCTATCCGTTTTAAAAACACATAAATTAAATTCAAATAGTCAAGGTCTCGGCTCGCCAAGACATCTCTAACGGGTATCGCGGGTTGTTTTCCTCGGGCCCTGAGGGATGTGGATAACTCAGATCTGGCAACACGGTGTAAGGTACACGACCAAACAACATGCTCGATATCGTGATAACCACTGCCACACGCACATAAATTGCTGCCTGAGAGCCCAATTCGATAGAAGTGCGAGTCTAACGAGCAGTGATTGGACATAAGCCTTGAAATAACGCGTATAAAGTCGCGGCTCATGTCCAACCCTTTGAACCATGGTTTGTTCGACACCTGTGGGAGAATAGAATGTAACCATCTTCCCAATTCACCATCATTCCATTTTTGTTGCCAACTGATGAGGACTTGCTGGCGAGCAATGGAGAAAAATTCGTTGAAGGCGATTTGTCGCTCAAAAATATCGCCTTCCATAGCGCCCACCTTAGCCAATGAGTCCGCATTCTCATTACCCGGAATTGAGCAATGAGATGGGACCCAAGCTAAGGTGATAGTATAGGAGCAGTTAGATAAAGCACTCAGTTTAGATCGTATTTCAGGCAGGAAATACGAGGAGTGCTTCATCGGCCTCATTGAACGAATAGCCTCCAATGAGCTAAGACTATCCGTAAAAATGAAATAATGGTCAGAAGGTAGTGAGGAAATTCGCTCTACTGCGTAAAATATAGCTGCGAGTTCCGCAACGTATACGGAGCATGGTTTCTGCAGTTTATAGGAGGCGCTATGAAATTGATTAAATACACCAAATCCAGTGGAAGCATTTATGGTTGACCCATCTGTGAAAAATCTTTTATCGTTACTTACATGGTGGTACTTGATTGCAAAAATTGAGGGAACAACCATCGACCGATGGTGATCTGGTATTCCATGGATTTCTTGCATCATGGTCAGATCAAAATTTACAGAGGAACTATAGAAGGCTTGGAAGCAATCACGATTGGAGATTAATGAAGAAGGACCAACCTCCAGCGTCATGTACTCATAGTACAAACTCATGAATCTTGTTTGAGGATTTTGGTCGAGCAGCTTCTCAAAGTGTTCTATTACCAAAGGATTCAATACTTCACAACGGATGAGGAACCGGAAAGACAGCTCAGCGAAACGATCTGTCAGTGGGAGAACACCCGCGAGTACTTCGAGGCTCATCGTATGCGTCGAGTGCATACAACCAAGCGCGATTCGGAGGCAACGGTATTGAACTCGTTGCAGCTTCAAGATATGTGTTTTCGCCGCGGATTGAAAGCAGAAGCTACCGTACTCTAGAACCGACAAGATGGTTGTTCGATACAACCTGATAAGATCTTCCGGGTGTGCTCCCCACCAAGTTCCGGTAATTGTACGAAGAAAATTGATTCTTTGTTGGCATTTTTGTTTTAGATACGCAATATGTTTTCCCCATGTGCATTTGGAATCGAACCAGACACCTAAATACTTGAAAGATATACTTTGAGTGATTGTTCTACCCTTTAGTTGAAGCTGTAACTGTGCAGGATGATGCTTCCTAGAAAAAACAACCAACTCAGTTTTCTCCGGAGAGAATTCGATACCCAGCTTCATAGCCCAAGTAGACAAATTGTCTAAGGTATCTTGCAATGGTCCTTGCAGGTCCGGTGCACTTGGCCCTATAACGGACACAACGCCGTCATCTGCA